CCATGACTGGGACACACTGCAGTGCAGGGTCAAAGTGAAGAAGCTGCGGAACGCCTACCACAAGGCGCGGGAGAGAAACCACCACTCCGGTGCTGCGCCCACAGGCTGCCAGTTCTACAAAGAGCTGGACGCGATACTCGGCGGCAACCCGACCTCCACTGTGAAGACCACTATGGATACTTCAGTGGCTCATGTGCCAGTCGAGAGTGGACCGAGCCAGGAGGAGGAAATCTGGGACGAGGATGTGGAGGGGGCGGGGGACCCAGAGGCAGAGGATGACTCGGAGGCCAGAGATGCATGCAGCCAGGAGCTCTTTTCTACCCCGGAGGAGGGTAGCCAGTCACAGCTGTCAGAGCTTGGCAAAGCACAAACAGGAGAGGAGGCCCCTGATAAGTGGATCTGATTTTGGGAATCACTGAAGCGAGTTGTTGGGGTCAGGAGGGTTGCAGAAAGCAGGCTTGTCTCCCACCGTATGCCTAGTCTGAGAGGTAGAACAGGCTGTTGATTGATTCCCTCACTTCAAGGGAATCTCCCTCAGAGATCTCCAGGAAACTCTCATGGAGATACTGGACAATCCGCTGCTGCAGGTTCTTGGGCAGAGGTGCTTTGTTTTTTGCCCCATTAATAGTAACTTTCCCACGCTACTGTGCTGTCACGGGGGTGGGAGACCACTGCTGCACACAGGCGAGCCACATAGAGACCAGGGCAGAAGCTGCAGGCTTGGAGAAGACCCTCCCTTGATTCCCTGCTCACCCTCAACAGTGAGATATCTTCCGTAATGATCATATCCTGTGGAAAGAGTGGGGACAGGAATGATTATCAGGCCCCCCCTACAGTGCTGGCTCTCTCCAGGAGCCATGTGCCCAGTGTACAGCAGGGTCCGGGAAGAGTGATACCCTTCCCCTGCGGCTACCCACCATTTTGGAAGTCTTGTGGCTCATGTGTGCTTGCCTGGGGTCACCTAGTTAGTGAGAGGTGTGAGAGTATTGGCAGTGTTTTAAATCACTGAATCAGTGTTCTCTGTGTTGCAAACAATACTGCTTCTGTAGAATGTTGCGTTTAAACTTCACAGAGATGACCTTGGGAGCCCAGTCTCTCTCTTTGTTATCAGCAGCTGAACGGCTGCGCAGAATTAGAAAGCGGCCAAGAAGAACTAAGGAGGACTTTCTGCATAATGTTATGATGTACTCCGCCACTGAGAAACAGGAATTGAAGGAGTGGCGGGACAGCGAGAAGAGAGACCAAAAGGAGAATACGGCATGCCAGAATGAAGCCACAGAGCGGCTCTTAAAGGTTACGGAGCACCAAGCAGACACGCTCCAGGCGATACTAGCTCTTCAAATGAAGCAGCTCCACACCCTCCCTCCCCTGTAGCCGCTGTCGCAAAACTCTTTCCCATGCGCCCCCCAGACACCGCCAACACATTCTTATCAACCTCCTGGCTCCAGTCTATACCCGAGGCATTCCACTCCTCCCTCCTCACAGTCCAGCACTGTGGACTCCAACTGCACTCAACACCCATCCCTCTGCAGCTGGCCCTGCTGAAGTACAGTACCCGCTGCATTGTACTCCAAAGGAGAAGGCTGGATATGATCCCTGGACATACACAAATCTTTAGCTGTCCTGGGACCCCTCCTCCTCCTGGGACCTACCCTTATCCCTCTCACTGCTGATGGGTTTTTTTGTTTGACTCTCTCCTCCGGTTGTTGTCTTTTAATAAAAGAATTGTGTTGGTTTGAAAGCAATCTTTATTCTATTAATTGAAAGCAAAAAGAGCACTGCAAAGCAACATACAATTATATTACACCCACTTATTGCATCATGTGCACCAATCACCTCCTAGCACAGGGGTAGGCAATCTATGGCATGCGTGCCAAAGGCGACACACAAGCTGATTTTCAGTGGCACTCACACTGACCGGGTCCTGGCCACCAGTCCGGGGAGCTCTGCATTTTAATTTAATTTTAAATGAAGCTTCTTAAACATTTTAAAAACTTTATTTACTTTACATATAACAATAGTTTAGTTATATATTATAGACTTATAGAAAGAGGCCTTCTAAAAACATTAAAATGTATTACTGGCACGCGAAACCTTAAATTAGAGTGAATAAATGAAGACTCGGCACACCACTTCTGAAAGATTGCCGACCCCTGTCCTAGCATTACAAGCACTGCACTCCCGAGCATAGCAACAAATATTAGTGGCTTTCAGCTTCAAATTGCTGCCTCAAGGCATCCCTGATCCTTATGGCCCCGCGCTATGCCCCTCTAATAGCCCTGGTCTCTGGCTGTTCAAATTCAGCCTCCAGGCACTGGGCCTCTGCAGTCCAGCCCTGAGTGAAGCTTTAATCCTTCCTTTCACAAATATTATGGAGCATACAGCATGCAGCTATAAACATAGGAATATTGTCATTGGCCAGGTCCAGCTTCCCATAGAGGCAGCGCCAGTGGGCTTTTAAATGGCCAAAAGCACACTCAACAGTCATTCTGCACTTGCTCAGCCTGTTGTTGAACTGCTCCTTGCTGCTATCAAGTTGCCCCGTGTATGGCTTCATAAGCCACGGCATTAAGGGATAGGCGGGGTCTCCCAGGATCACAATGGGCATTTTGACTTCCCCTACAGTGATCTTCTGGTCTGGGAAGAAAGTCCCTGCTTGCAGCTTCCTGAACAGGCCAGTGTTCCGAAAGATGCATGTGTCATGCACCTTTCCAGACCAGCCTGCGTTAATGTCTGTGAAATGCCCACGGTGATCCACAAGCGCCTGGAGAACCATTGAGAAATACCCCTTGCGATTAATGTACTTGGTGGCTAGGTGGTTTGGTGCCAGAATTGGAATATGCGTGCCATCTATCGCCCCTCGGCAGTTAGGAAAGCCCATTTGTGAAAAGCCATCCACAATGTCACACACGTTGCCCAGAATCACAGTCTTTCGGAGCAGGATGCGATTAATGGCCCTGCACACTTCCGTCAACACGAGTCCAACGGTAGACTTTCCCACTCTGAACTGATTAGCGACCGATCGGTAGCAGTATGGAGTAGCCAGTTTCCACAGTGCAATCGTCACGCACTTCTCTAATGGCAGAACAGCTCTCGTTCTCATGTCCTTGCGCCTCAGGGCTGGGGCGAGCTCATCATCCAGTCCCATGAATGTGGCTTTCCTCATCTGAAAGTTCTGCAGCCACTGCTCATCATCCCAGACGTGCATGATGATGTGAGCCCACCACCAGTACTTGTTTCCTGAGCCCAAAAGCGGTGTTCCACTGTGGTCAGCACCTCCATGAATGCCACAAGCAATCTTGTGTCGTAGCTACTACGTGTGGCGAGATCAATATCACACTCCTCTTGCCTTTGTAATTTAAGGAATAACTCTACTGCCACTCGTGATGGGTTGGTCAGAGCGAGCAGCATATTGGTCAACAGTTCAGGATCCATTCCTGCAGCCAGAAGAGGTAGGGCACGCAGTACACAAACTGTTGAAAGCTGGTGCCAAATGCAGACGGAAGCACAGGGATTGCTGGGATGCGAAGCAATTTATCATGGGTCATTGGGACAGGACCCAGGATGCCCCGTAAACCCCCCCCCCCGCCTTCCCACAAGTCTTAGTGGCAGAAAAGAAAGAGGCTGACCAGAGTGCACCGCTCCAAATACTGCTGCAAGTGCCACAAGTGTGAACACACTATTGCGCAGGCAGCTGACAGTGTGAACACACAACAGCAGTTTCCCTTCAGAGCTCTCTGAGTGGTGCTGTAAGTGCCAGCACTGTAACTTTTTCAGTGTAGACGTGCCCTTACTGCAGAACAAGAGTGTCACTGGAGGTAATGCTAAACAGGAATAAGGCACGCTTGTTCCAGAATAAGAGCGTACACACATGGAGTTGGTTGGGAACAGCACTTTAAATTCACACCCTACCTTAATTGGCATTAACTTTGAAGTATAGACAAGCCCTAAAATGGAACTAGAACTCAGAAGTTCCATCTGAAATCCAGTCCAAAAGGCTACAGTCTCCCATGAAAACACGGAATGGGAAAAAGTTTACCTATTATGCTTTTCATTTATTTTTGCATTTCCTAAAGTTTGTACAATGAAAATCCAGTATAGTTGGTCTCTGCACTTTCTGGTGTCTCTGCGGAGTGCTGCCTCTCCTCGTTTTCAGATGCGAAAGAACGGATAGGAGGGGGGAAGAAGTTAAAACCAAAATGTCTTTCAAAAAGGATAAAACATCACTCTAAAGACAGTTAAAAATACACTTATTTTATACTAGAGTTTGAGAATCCTTGAACTAGTCCATTATAATCACTTGTTTTACATGGAGTTTCACTTTCAGGTTTTCACCCACTGTGACACACTGCTACAAGATATGGGCTGTGACGCAGAAAGAGGGGCAAAGAGGCATGGGGGGGATAGGCTGGGGGGGGGGCAGGGCAGGGCCGCATTTTGGGTGCCCCTTCCCCTTACTTTTAGGGAGCATCCATTCCCCAGCACCGGGAGCAGGGGGAAAGAGGGGAAGGGGCTCCCCCCCCCCAACTAGGGTGACCAGATGTCCCAATTTTATAAGGACACTCCCAATTTTGGGGGCTTTTTCTTATATAGGCTCCTATTACCCCCCCATTCCTGTTCTGATTTTTCACACTTGTTGTCTGGTCACCCTACCCCCAGCACCGGGAGAGGTAATGGGCCAGCCCCCCGTGCAGAGAGCGACGAGAGATTTCCACCCTCACCCCCGCGCGCGGAGAGCCGTTGGCCTGCGGCCGTTAGGAGGGGCTCCCCTGGAGCGCGTGGGGTCTCCTGCCCCACGTGGAGCAGGCGGGGGGGGTTTAGAACGGGCGGGGGGAGGGAGCGCTCTCTCAGGAACAGCCCCTACCCCAGCGGAAGGCGGCAGCCGTCAAGCTGCTCTCCGCCTCCCTTCGCGAGGGGCTCGCTTCGCCCGCCTTTCCCGCGAGCTCGCCCCCTCCCCGCGCGCTGGGCCTGTCCTAGGGGGATGCAGGCACCGAACCTACCCCGTCCTGCGTGAGACACTTCCTGCTGCCACAGCCCGGCCGGCCGGGGAGGAGGGGCAGGCGAGGAGACTGACAGGCGCCTCTGCCCAATCAGCAGCCGCAGCGAGGCGTCACAGTGGGCTGGGCAGGGAGGAAGGAAGCACAGCGCTGTGGTTAACCCGACCCGGGCGTGAGGCTCGAGCCCAGTCCAGGCCCTTCCCCGGCTGGGAGCTCCCAAAGCAGCCCCCCCCCTCCCCCTCCCCTCGGAGCTGCAGCATCATCACCACCGCGACCCTGAGTCACTCTGTTCCCCTCCCCCCCTTAGAGCACCAGGCAGCCGTGGCATGGCCCGTGCCCCTCTGGCAGCACCAGGCGGAATCCAGCCTGCATCACAATGGGTCAGTGATGTGGTTACAACACGCGCAACCCAAAGCTTGGGAAGGAAGGACAGCGGCCGTACAGATGTGCTGGGAGCTCAGTCCTAGGGGGCAGTGATACAGAAAAAGACGTGGGGTTGGTGGTGGATAATCAGCTGGACATGAACTCCCCGTGCGATGCTGTGGCCAAAGGGGCTAATGTGATCCTAAAAGGCATAAGTAGGGGAATCGCAAAGAGGTTATTTTAAAATTTGGCACTGTTGCGACCACTGCTGGAATCCGACCTGTGGCCAGTTCTGGTGCCCACAGTTCAAGAAAGATGTTGATAAATTGGAGAGGGTTCAGAGAAGAGCCATGAAAACGACTAACGGATTTGAAAACATGCTTTATATTGACAGACGCAAGGAGCACACTCTATTTAGTTTAACAAAGAGAAGGTTAAGGAGTGACTTGATTACAGTCTGTAAATACCTACTTGGGGAACAAATATTTAATAACAGGCTCTTCACTCTGGAAGAGAAAGGTATAACACAGGGGTGGGGAACCTTTTCTATCTGGGGTCATTGACCCACTGAAAAAATCAGTCGCGGGCCACACACCGCCCCCCCAGGCTGCCCCGGGGCTATGGCGGGGAGAGAGGACTCCCTCCAGCTCTCTCTCCCCACAGCAGCACCTGGGCTGGTGGGGAGAGGTGCCTCTCCCCGCTGCGGCAGGGCCAAGGTTGGGTTGGGGCCGTCGGACAGATGCCTCTCCCGTGGCAGGTCTGGGGCTGGATTGAGGCTAAGGGATAGGCGCCTCTCCCACGGCTGCAACAGGTCTATGCCAGGGCTGAGTTGGGGCCGTAGGAGAGGTGCCTCTCCCACAGCCGTGGCAGGTCCGGGCCGGGGCTGGGTTGAGGCTGGGGGAGAGGAATCTCTCCCCTCCGCAGCCCTGAGCACCTGCCCGGCACTTAATAGGTTGCCTCCCCCCCACCACCGCAAAAAAAAAAAAAGATTTAATTTTATATATATACATACACACACCTGGGGGATTTTTTATTTGCCTTCTGGGTTTTGAGGCGCTATTATTTAACATTTTAAAGTTTTTCTCAGCAACCATCACTGCTAGAAACTATCTTTTTTTTTTTAATAAAAGACAAGAGTTTCATGTAAGTGCATTATTCCTGAGCTGGGACTTTAAGAAAAACACCAAATGTCATGAGATTTGTGATAAAATCATGACAGTTGGCAACACTGAGAAGCCCAAGGCCTGGCCTTGTTACACTCCTACACTATCCCACACTCAGGCATCTCAAAGTAACCTGCCCTTTTTTATTTCTTTATGATTAAGGCTGCGTGTCTGTCTTGGAGGTCACAGAAGTCACAGATTCTGTGACTTTCCGTGACCTCCTTTACTTCTGCAGCAGCAGGTGTGGCTGGCTCCGGGACTGCCTGAGCAGCTCGGGCAGCACATGGGCCAGTCACACCGGCCGCTGCTGAGGCAGTCTCAGGCCACCGCGCCTCCTCCCCCCCCCCGCCCCCGTAGCAGCAGGAGGAGTTTGGGTGTGGGAGGGAGCTCAGGGCTGGGGGTTGGGGCACAGGAGGGGGTGAGGGCTCTGGGCAGCACTTAGCTTGCGGGGCTCCCCAGAAGCGGTGACATGTCCCTCCCTCAGCTACTAGCTCTGCACACTGCCTCCGCCTGCAGGCACCGCCCCCGCAGCTCCCACTGGCCACGGTTCCTGGACAACGGGAGCTGCAGAGCTGGCAGCATGCGGAGCTAGGAGCTTAGAAAGGGACATGTCACCGCTTCCGAGAAGCTGGGTGGGGAGCCTGCCAGCCCCTCCAATCCCCCTGCCCCCCCAGCACCAGCAGGGGTTCCAAGCTGCTCCCACCCAAGCACCCGCGGCGCCCCCCAGACCACCCCCCGAGCACTTGCGGCACCCCCCCAGACCGCCCCCTCTTGAGCACCTGTGGCCCCACACGGCGCCCCCCAGATTACCCCCCATGCACCCATGGCATACCCCAGGCCACTGCCCCCCCTGAGCACCCGCAATGCCCCCCAGGCCACCCCCCCACGAGCACCCATGGCACTCACAAAATTTAATCAGGGGTATAGTACAAGGCATGGACAGGTTATGGGCCGTGAATTTTTGTTCACTGCCCATGACCTGTCCATGACTTTTATTAAAAATACCCGACTGAAATGTAGCCTTATGTATGACATATAAAGAAGCCTTTAACGGTGGGGTTTTAAAAAAAAAATCCCTAACTCCCCTTTTTTTAATCTTAGAATATCAGGAATATCAAATCTGCTTTGGAGGACTCAGAGGACTGGGAATTTCCTCTTTACCAATAAGAACTTTTATACCATTTGTAGGATATTGGAGTTAAATAAAATTAACTTTTAAAAACAGTAAATAAAATTTATTTCCTTTCACATTTAGGCAGGTTTGGTATGTATGATACTTGTGATGTCATAATCATACTAATTGTCCAGTCAGCCATTCAGTCTTCTAGGGAAAACACAGCAGCCAAGACCTGAATTTATTGTTAAACAAAGAGGGGGAAAATAAAAATAAAAAACCCCAAAAGGTATCAGGCCTTCTTTATATACTGTAAAGAAGGAAAGAGGGAAATATTCTCTTTTGTTCCTTTGCAGGTTGCTTTTAATAACTGTAGATTCATAAAGTGAAACGTGTCCTTTGTTTTCTATCTGCAACACGGAGAATGGAGCCCACTCTAGAATGTTCAACAATTTGATATCACACCAGTCACTTTCTTGTGGATAAAGTTATAAGAAGCATTTTATTCCATAATACAATGACTGTTATTCTCTTAGATTCTGGTTAGACAAAAGGGTCTCCTTTTATTATAATTACCTGTAACTGGAATTCCCAAAATGTCTACTTGGAATAATATTTAGAGACAAATTCTCTTTTCAGATATGTACAGTAACTCCTCGCTTAACGTTGTAGTTATGTTCCTGAAAAATGCAACTTTAAGCGAAACGATGTTAAGCGAATCCAATTTCCCCATAAGAATTCATGTAAATAGGGGGGGTTAGGTTCCAGGGAAATTTTTTTCACCAGACAAAAAACTATATATTATATAGATATACACACACTATACGTTTTAAACAAACAATTTAATACTGTTCACAGCTATGATGATTGTGAAGCTTGGTTGAGGTGGTGAAGTCAGAGGATGGAAGAGGGAGGGATATTTCCCAGGGAATGCCTTGCTGCTAAATGATGAACTAGCACTCAGCTGAGCCCTCAAGGGTTAACACATTGTTGTTAATGTAGCCTCTCATCAAGGCAGCACGAACAGGAGGGAGGGGAGACAGCATAGCAGAGAGAGACAGACACACACCTTGTGTGTGGGAGAGAGAGAGAGATGCACACTGCCCCTTTAAGTAAGCTGACCCACTCTTAAGTGCATTGTCTTTTTAAGTGGATCAAGAAGTTGAGACAGCAGCTGCTGCCCCAAGCTTTCTCTGTCTCTCTCCATCTGTGTCCCCTCCCTGCTCTATATGGAGAAGGGGTAAGCGGGGTGCAGGAGCAGGGGGGAGCGGGACACTCTGACATTAGCGCCCCCCCTGCACAGCAAGCAGGAGTCTCTGGGAGCAGCTCCGAGGCAGAGGGCAGGAGCAGAACATGGCAGTGGGGGGAGGGACAGCTGAACTGCTGATTGATAGCCTGTTGGACGGCTGCAGCACAGGGAACTTAGGGGAACGGGGGGCTGCCGGTCCACCCTGGTTACAAGCCCCCACCAGCTCGCTCCAATGGGCTGCTCTTCCTGCAAGCAGTGGACAAAGCAGGCGGCTGCCAAATGACGTTAGAAGGGAGCATTGCGCAACTTTAAACGAGCATGTTCTCTAATTGATCAGCAACGTAACAACAAAATAACGTTAACCGGAATGACTAAGTGAGGAGTTACTGTACATATGTATACCTCCCATTAGCTTTCATATGATTTGGGAATGTGTATTTGAGGTGAAATTTGGCCTTTCACAGCTAAGGCTCTACTATCTCCCTTAATCTTTCACACAACCTCTACGTATTTCAATTAGAGTTATACATGTTGAACAAGGATAAAATATGATCCTTAAACAGTTCCTGTATGTTCAGAGGCCTTACTGCACATGTAAACAACCCTATAACACTGGTGAATATTATCCCTATTTTACAGATCCTGTGTCACAGGATTGACTGGCCATTTACAGGATTTATTCTCAGCCCCACCTGTGCCTTGTCATCTGGTCCCAGGTGATGGATTTAGGCCAGTGGTTGGGTCAGGTGACCAGGCCTAACATGATCATGACCAGGGCCGGCTCCAGGCACCAGCTTGTCAAGCAAGTGCTTGGGGCGGCCGCTCCGGAGAGGGGCGGCACGTCCAGGTATTCGGCGGCAATTCGGCGGACGGTCCCTCACTCCGCCTCGGAGCAAAGGACCTCCCGCTGAATTGCCGCCGCAGATCGCGATCGCGGCTTTTTTTTTTCTTTTTTTTGGCTGCTTGGGGCGGCCAAAACCCTGGAGCTGGCCCTGATCATGACAGGACTTGGTGGTGATGCGGGTCTTCAACTACCCAGACATCTGTTAAGAAAATAACAAAGAGGGCACCAATTATTCAACAAGTTCTCGGAATGTATTGGAGACAATTTTTTATTTCAGAAGGTGGAGAAAGGCACAGTAGGGGAGAGGCTGTTCTAGATTTGATTTTGACAAATAG